TGAGCAGCATTTACTACACAGAGCCGTTGTTCACTGGCAAGCTGCGCAAAAAATCGCACGATTATGAATGTGGTTTTGCGCAGCTTGCCAGTGAACAACGGCTCTGTGTAGTAAATGCTGCTCAATGTGAAAGCCCGCACGTGATGGAGATTTACCGTTGATTACAGAAGCGGCTTTACTGACAAGATGCGCATTAAATATCGCATGCGATTTATCGTGCAGCCCTATTTACTACACTGCAAAAAGTGATTTTCTTAATCAGTGTTTTTGTCTCATTGTCCAGTACATATATCTATATATTCTTACATAAATACTTAAAGGGTTAGTTCACTAAATGAAAATTCTGTCACCATTTACTCACTCTCAAGTTGTTCCAAACCTGTGAGTTTCTTTCTTCTTTTGAACACTAAAGATATTTAGAAGAATGTTGTTAACCAAACAGTTGCTGATAGTCATTGACTTTGGCTACCAACAACTGAGAGTGATTAAATGCATCTTTTAAATAAATATCCTTTTAAGAAGCACAATAACTCAGGATTTTTCTTTATGCACCAAGAGATTGTAACACTCCAAAGAGAAAGGAAAACTTGAAATCGCATCATATGACCTCTTTAAAACAAGAACAAATATATGTCAATGGGGTTAGAAAAAATTTGTTTTCTTATTGTTGTCTTGTTTTTTGACCACGTTAGCAGCTACTTTTTCTTGTTTTAACCATAAATTTTAGATTTTTTAAATATCTAATGTCAAGGTTAATGTCAAAATATTGAGTGTTAATACCATGGTATATTAATATGCCAATTAAAGTACCATGGTACTTTCCACCTTTTCATGTATACCACAGAACTCCAAATAAACTATCACAAAAGAAAGGGAGCACTTTGGTAAACTTGTTTTAATAGTGTCATTTTGCAAATGGTTAACAGCTAGTTTTAAAATAAATAAATAAATACACATTAGAATAGTATTTCAGGCCTTGGGTTTAATTTCAAACAAAATAATTAATAAATATGACTGCTCACTCACAAACCTAAATAGACTGCCCTTTGGCTATGCAATGAGATTAATTTCTTTGTACAGAGAAAATACAATTTCTAGCAATCTCTTATTCATCAACTATCTAACCAAAGACTTTTGTGTTTTCTGTCTGCTTGGCCCCTGTTTAGTAAGTGTTTGCGCTGCGAGACGCTAAATCTGCGACAGTAAAAAGCCTCTTGTGCTCTCTCTCCTCTTATCCTCTTCTTTTCTTTTTAAACACAAGAACGTGCATGTGCCAAGGACTACGAGAGAAGGACGCGTATGTGCGGGGGATTAAATTCATGAACGAAGTGTACTGACAAACAGAACGTCAAGAATTTGTTCTTACAATCTAAATCCAATCAAAGGAGAACAGATCAAATGTGTGTGTGTGTAAGTAGAGTGGATCAGTGCTGGCCTGGCCATGTAATCTGCTGTTCGTCATTGTATTACAATGGCAACAGTGCTGGATCAAACACGGAATAAGAGTAAAGCCAGTCCCTGAATGCTGGGAATTGGGAGAGATCCTGGCGCTCAGGCACAGCGGGGTGGGTGATGGGGTCTGATCCCCTTTCTAAAGATCATTGAGGACTGATCTGAGCTCACTGGCCCCATGGCTTTATCTGGGGGTGACACGCTCTGGTGACCCAGACTCTGATCTCTAATCAGTGAGCATTGAGTGATGAAATATATTGTGACAAATATCTTGTAACAACATGAAGGCAAGTAAATGATGACAGAAATGTTATTTTTGTTTGAACTATCCCTTTAAATAACCTTTATAGGCAAGGGAAAATATTGAGACATGAGACACAAATAAAATGAATTATGTAACAACAATAATAATCTTCAGATGATCTGAAATAATGTATTTATCATCTACAGTTATAGAAATATATGGAAGCCCATTTACACACACACACACACACACACACACACACACAATAAATGAATGAATGATCAATCATGCTTTGGTAGATCTCACAATTATGGCTTAGTATATCATGATTATCTGATAATTTACACATGTCAATTTTGAATTTTTATATTATAAATATGACTTTTGACTTTTTGTCTAAGAATTGTGCATTTTTATGTCTTAGCTATGATTTAGCAAAGCATTTTTCTTATGGGCTTTCATAGGGATGGATGGATGATTAAAATGTTCATAATATTTTAATGAAATGAACAGTATTTTGAATATGTTTTGTAAAATATTTCCTGCATTCCAGGTTATGATAGTTGGCACTTTATTTAATATTCATGGTTGAATCATTTAATTGATTTTATGCACTGGCAGTTCAGCAACAAGTATCATATATACTTTTAGAACTGAACCAATTTACTTAATACTTAATCTAAAATTAACTTTACCTATCAGATAGAACACTTACTCAGACAAGTCCAAAATGGCACTTTCTAGATTAATGGGGGTGAGACAATTAACCCCCTGACACATCTTACCCCACTCTCTCCTACATTCTGTTTCTTCCAAGTTTGCAGAATATAACTATGAAAGTGATTCTGCAGTGCTAAGGTGAAGTAAAGTTTAGTTCCCCTCTCGCTCTCATTAGCTCTATAGGTGTGCTGGAAATAGGTCTGGACCTTGTTAACTTCTGTTTAGGGGTACTTTTGTTTGTAACACTATGTATGGCTGTCTGGGGCCACAAGGTGAATGCCTCTTCTTCTCTAGAGGCATGATCCCTGCAGCTGGAGTAAAAGTCCTCGTCAGCATGCTGCTATAACAGTGAATCTGGGAGACGTGGCCTGATTTTGGGCCCAGGTGCAGGGTGAGGGAGGCCAGTGTACAGATGTTCAATGTGGAGGGAAGGGGGTGACCTCTTAACCCCAGAGAGACATTTAGCATCTGCCAATACACACTCAAACACCCTCCTGAGGATGTGTACACAAACCAATGGTCTCGCACGCATAAATATACACGCACAGAAACATTTTAGGACAGCAAAATAAAACTCAAACTGCCTATTGGGAAGTTTAGGTAGCTCAGGTGCTTTTCATAACAGCATGCTACTTTTGCCAACTAGGAGTTTCTGTGTGAGCTCCCTTTCATATTATAAACCTACAAACCGCTCAAAAGTTTGGGGTCGGCAAAATTATTTAATGTTTTTGAAAGAAATATCATATGCTAAGGCATGTATTTGACCAAAAATACAGTACAAACAGTATGTTAAATATTATTACAATTTAAAATGACTGTTTTCTATTTTAATAAATTTAAAATGTAAATTATTCCTGTGATGCAAAACTGAATTTTCAGCATCATTACTCCAGTCTTCAGTGTCACATAATAATTCAGAAATCATTATCAATGTTGAAAAGAGTTGCACTGTTTAATATTTTTGTGGGAACTGTGATACATTTTTCAGGATTCTTTGATGAATATAAACTGAAGGACAGCATTTATTTGAAAACTTTTCTTTACTGTCATAATTTAAAGGCCAGGTCTAATGCTGTTTCATGCATTCTGACTTATTTACACTGTTAAAGCATTGGATGCTCATGCTAAACATGGCCAACGTCTCAGAAAACGAGTTGGATGTGTTTCTGTGCCAAATACACTCCTTCAGGGTTCGTATTTTTTATTTTTTTTTGTATGGCCCTGCATGACTTCATAAAGGGCTACGCAAAAGCTTCACATACTCATGACTCTCAAGGAGCTAGACTGTTTTCAGAGAGAAGCGTAAAGCTGTATCTGTCTTATATACGGTATGTATCTCTTTTATAAATCTGATCAAACTAAAGACTCTTCGGAGATACAGTATGAAGGATGCAATACTAATTCAAGA